TGTGTGTGTGTGTGTGTGTGTGTGTGTGCGTGCGTGTGTGTGTGTGTGTGTGTGTGTGTGTGTGTGTGTGTGTGTGTTCGTGGTGTGTGCGTGGTGTGTGCGTGTGCGTGTGTGCACGGGGTGTGTACGTGAGAGTGAGTGTAATTAATAGATGTACGCGGATTTAAATTGAGCGCAATATAGCTTTATAAACCGCATGAACTTCAATAAAATTAATTGCTACTTTAATGCAAATAATCATATACGTGCAAATTTAAATTTATCCGCTTTATTAGCCGCCATATTTACACAGTATCCGCCGAAAAGACTCAGACACTAATCGGCTTTCATTTCGTTAAATCTATACATGAGTACGTCGACATCATTTCTGAGCTTACCTGCGAGGTCGGCGGAAATGTAAAGCCAAACGGAGGGTAGGCGGTCATCGTCTGAGCTATCGATTTGTGGCGCGGTCTAAATTCCGGTGCCGTCTTCCTCTCTCTCTCTCTCTCTCGCGCTCTCTTTCTCTCTCGCTCGCTCTCTCTCTCTCTCTCTCTCTCTCTCTCTCTCTCTCTCTCACGTGCGTTCCAAGTAGAGCGAACTGGATGTGGAATCACGCAGCGGGCGTCGCTGTCACACACGTCATCGCGTGTGGTTAGCTGTAAGGGCGTCGGTTTCTTCCAACGATGATTAGATTGTAAACTTTCTATTCATACCTATCACGTTTATCACGCACGCATCGCGTGCCTGTGGAATTAATGTGCATATATACTGCGACACAGTCAGGTAGGCGCTACCTTCACCCGCCAAGCAAACATATACACGCGCAAATGAGTAATAATATAAGGGTTGGCAATCAGCGCGGACACGCCTATGGGCGGAGCAATGGAGACGCTCCGCGAATAAGCGCGATGGGTAGCAATAATTAGGGACAGCTGGATCGTTTGCTGTTGCGCTAAGTACAACAATCAACAACAAAATTATAATACTTTAAGCGACGGATGATTGGATACATATATAGAAACACACAAGCAAATGATAGCTGTAGACCTATACGGATCTAAACTAAAATGCGCTAATGGCCATATACACCAAGATAGACGTTAGTGTCTGTATGTACATATGTGTGGGGGTGCGTTCTATGCGTGCCTGGGAGCGCGCGTGTGGGTGCATGCGTGTAAGTGTGTATGGCCATGTGCGTGTATGTGTATAATTGTGCGGTTCGGTGCATGTTTGCCTGCGCGCGTGCATTTACGTGTGCATATGCATGCACGCGTGCGCGTGCGCGCGCGTGTGTGTGTGTGTGCAAGCGCGCGTGTTGTATGCAAGGATGGCATAGTAAATATTGCGACTAAATACATGTTTCACGTATGTAAACATACTAGCTTATATTAAAAGTTTTATTTATTAATATCACTCGTTTTCTGTGTATTTCAACAATGAGAGCAAAATGCAAAAATATGTGTTACATTCTTCATGTTCTTCTATTAGCAATTTTAACATGCAGGTGTTGCTACAAATTTCCATATGGTAACTAAGCAAGTTGTCACTAAGAATGTTTTCCTGCATCCGATAATAGGAAGCTTTGCTAGCAATTAGCTTAATAATCTAGACATGCGAAGTGATGAAACAAATTTGCATCAATATCCAAAAACAGCAAAACCAAACAACGACCAGAAGTGACAATAAATTAACATCGAATGCAACAAGTGAGTTTTATGAGCGGGGCAGGTCACGTCTGACGTCCTTCTCACCCCGCTGCATGTCATTCCATCCCATGCCGGCCCCTTTGTCTCCCCGGCGGCACCCTTGTGGGGATCACAACTAATCAGAACCAAATTGCCGGAGCAACCTCACCCAGTCCGCTGATCGCTGTGTCGCCAAGCCACTGCATTAATCCACGTAAACACGCGGATAATCTAATTAACGCATTGTCACCCGAGTGGACAGGTGATCATGCGTGCGTTGTCGCGGATGGTCGCCGCCTCGACCTACTGGCCCCGACATCTTTTGTGCGCACCAGTCCTTACTCCGCTCGGTGCGCTCCTCTCACTCTTACTTTAATAATATTGGTCCAAAGTTATTGTTATTATCTATTATTATTATTATTATTATTATTATCTGTATTGAATTCGTATATATTTGTGTATATTGTTGTTCGCAATTGGCGAATGGTAATAATTAAGACCGTTCACAATAACAGTACATAGCACCTTTTTTTTCACGAGCCCAAAAAAATATATGAAAATAGATGGTTGACTATTCCGATTTGGCGGAAAGGTATTAATTACTCTACTTTTATTTGAATTTCTAAAATCTTTCGACGGCTGTTAACCGACCCCTTTCTCAAGCGTGTGGTTTTTGCACGGTCGATGTTCTTGATTGATATGTTGTGATGGATGCCGACTGCCTCAACAATAATTGTAAGTAGTACCCCAGTAAATTTATGAGATAAGTATAGTGTTATAACAATTCTCGAGCGGTAAACCTCTCCTCTATCGCTGAGCACTGACACATGAACAGACATTTTGATGTTTGCTCAAAATTTTCTCGACGACTTGTACGCTTGCCGACGCTTGTACGCTTGTTCGTTCGCGGCGTCTAAAAACTCACCCCGGCAGCCTACCTGCTCACCGACGCAGATAATCGAGGATATTCAAGTGGCGAAGTGAGTTTCAATTCCTAGACATCGCCTGAATGGTTGGACGCGCGCCATGTTAGTTGCCGCAGACGACAGTGTCGAGCGCTTTATCGTCTGCCAGGCATCGGTGCCTTTTAAGACATTCAGTCAGTCAGTCAGTCATTCAGCGGCAGAAATGCTGGCGACGATTGACTCCCCTCGACGCGAGATAACGATCCGCTTCGTCTGGCCACGCGGGCGTGAAACATCGTCCCGCATGTTTGCTGTGTGTGCACGCAGCAGCAGCAGCAGCAGCAGCAGCAGCAGCAAGCAGCAGCAGCAGCAGCAGCAGCAAGCAGCAGCAACACGGTCGCAACTAATGCGCAAATTACGCGCCGCGCGCAGAAGCTCGCGGTGGCCGGACACTCGCGCCCATTGTCCGGCGATCAGTTCTCGGGGGTTCGGCTGAAAACATCTTATTATCTGCTGATTCGATCAGCCATCGGCGTGATAACTACACCCGCCGCCCGCCGGTCTGAGCGGCTCGGAGATGCCGTCGTGTCCGTCGCGCGTGTAAGCTATAGATATCTAGACAAGAGACGGCGAGGCTGCGAGATTAACACAACAACAACACCACACTGGCATGCATGATGAGACGCGCGCCAACGATGCATGCAGTACGATCTATAGTATTTCACTGTCTTATTCGAGCGTGTGCCCGTCGTAGTGCTTGTTATCTCGCAAGAGTCAAGTGCTCTGCTGAAGAGCGTTTCGCAGACGCTGAAAGGTCGCCGATCTTCGTTTTTTTTTCTTCGGAGGATATATATACAGCGCGATGTTCGCGGACTTACTGCGAATAGCTTAAACTAGATTTAAGGGGCTCTCGTGCGGCTACCACGCACGGTTAACGTTGTGTTCTCACAGAAATAGAAGAATGAGGTGCAGCGGAAACGAGATGAAAAGTGACTCAGAAAAACAGATACGGGGTGTCACTCGTCCAAGCTGCTCTGGTAGCAAACCGAAATTAATTGGTAACAAAAACCATTTGGCATGCCCGACGATCATTATTCAACTTATGGGGGGTCGGTTCGAGCACCTTAACGCCAACTAAAACAGTAAAGAAATCCACACCTTTCTCTCCATGGAATAGGCCTAACGAACTCAAGCATTCATCATTACACACATCTCAAATTTCTAACATTTCTAACATCACACACATCTAACATTTACCATTAGACTTTTCTAAACTTCCAGCATTACAACGATTGGTCTCATCTAATTTCATCACTCATCATCCGTTCTGAATGTATCCATCGTGACTACGCCATGATGCGACATCACCGCGGGGAATCAATGCAGTCGTAAAGTGGCACGCTTGTCTCAGCGCAGCTATTTTGTATCATACATGCAAAAAATATTGCTTGCATATAAAAAAGAGTTGTTGTTGTTATTGAACCAGAACGCGAATATTTAGCTTTTTTATAGATACAACGTGAAAATGAGTGTCAGCTCACAACGCTCAGACGATACGTTGATTTTCTGACTGTATTTTCCTGTTAACGAATGTTTAGAACGCCGCAATAAATGTGCGTCATCACCACGAAGGGCAACACATGCAGTGACTGTGATTGACAGTGCAGTGACTATTGTGTATAATATCTTGATAATATACATGGGTAGTTTTGCAATACAACTTATCTTCACGATTAATCATTCCTGTTTAAACTGTATTAATCTGTAACGCACGAGGAGATGCGCGCCTTGCTCGTGAATGCTCTTTTAACTGAAAATAACAGCGAAAGACACACATTCAGCTGGTTCTCCGCAAAGGTTCTCTCAGAACGAGGAGACATGTATATCAAGAGTACATAATAGATCATGTATTCCTGATGGGGGGCAGCCCTATAGACCGAAGGTCCGATAGACCGAATGTTGCAAAGGGTTAGGGTAAGAGTTAGGGTTAGGGTTAGGGCATATATATAGTTTATAGTGGCATCGGTGGCTGTGCGGCATATTCACGTTCGAATACGGCATCAGTGGATGTCCGGATGCGTAGCCTGGAGGCTAGGCGACCGATTCCGAACGTGTAGCCACTGCGTATTCGAATAAACCTTCGGTCTATCGAGCCTTCGGTCTATCGGACCTTCGGTCTATAGAACTGTAAACCTCTTGGTGTATACTCATCGCGGTACATGCGTTCGCGCACGATGGGCACTGTTGCGTTCTACTGCAATGTAATCGCATAGTACTTCGCCCGCCGTGCCGCCGGTAATACGCACAACATGCAGCTCGGGGGAGATCAAAGTGAAGTCCGATATCACCGGCTCAGAGAAGGATCAGCTTTGTTTCATCTGCCGGCTAATCCTTTAAACTAACCAGAATGTCACCTCGTGCACGCGCTCGACTCTACCGGTGGCCACTTCGCTGTTATAGCCGAGCCGAGCGTAAAAACAGAGTATAGGTTTAGGCTTTGACTGAGATCGTTTGGCGACGCGTTGGGCGAGCGTTTGCGTGTTTGCGCGAACATGCGAACAAAGACGTCTGTGATCAGTGCAGAGCTACGATATTATGACTCTGTTGGCTTTAGTGTGGCGCTTGAATTTTAACGAGTTTCCAGGAAGTGTCCACACACGCGAGGTTTCGTCTAGTTGTGACGACGATGCAGGCGCGCGGTGGACGGCTGTCTGATGAGACACTGACGGAACAAAAGAAACGCTATCGCCAAAATCTTCACACATACACATAACTCATATGCACAGACAGTCGCGCAGGCACGCACACGTACAGACATACGCACTAACACACACACACACACACCCACACACACACACATACAACACCGAGCACGCAGAGGCACGCATGCCCACGCACGCACGCACACGCATGCACAGATATGCGTACACGTATGCACGCACACGCGCAGGTGACGCAAGATCGCGAAGCTTACACGATCGAAATTCTAATGCGAAATTACACAGTGAGCGCATAAACTCGCGGATCGATCGAAATTACGCCGTTATATGAAACGACTTCGCTTAAGCTGATTCAACGTTAGGGACGACAAAGCCCCATAGCTGCCCCCCCCCTCCCTTCCACCGGTTACCACTTCCCATTGTAAATTTTGGGCGGGTACTGCAGTTTATAGCGGTCGAGCCCAATAAAGTAATCATCTGGTCGCACATT